CTTAAGTCAAATCAGACATTGGTTGGCTACTTCAACAAGTTCTGTACCACCACTTTCCTGGCATATCTTAGAACAAAGGCAAATTGTAGGACAAAGGCTCTGTGGCTGGGTTGGTGATTACTTTTCTCTATAAATAGGCAGCAGAATACCCTCCCACACCAAAGGCACTGGAATATAGGAGTGAAGGCTCTATGTAGGCACCAGATGGACTTCTCCATTTGCAAGGAGTTGTGTGGGGTTTGTGTTCATCAGTGAGTCTGCGCTGTGTGTTTGCAGAGAGCAAACTGTTGTCTTAGTAACAGCCTAGGTTGTTTGAGGATTTTCATGTAACCTCCTTGGCCAACAATTCAATTGAATGAAACCCAGTCCCACTATTAGAAGCCTTGTTTGGTAACATGAGATGGCCAGTTGAGACTTCATGTCCTCCATTATTGGGAGACCTCATTAGGATGACCTTCATATATTTTAAAAATTTCTACTCCAGTAGTGTTCCATATCATCCCTCAAATGCCCCTGGATTACAGTTGTTTCTTGCTGCATTGTGTCTACCTTATCTCCTCTTCTCCACCCAACCTGATCCCCTAATTCCTATCCTTACTTGCCCCTATTCTACCCATAAAGATTGTTCTATTTTTCCTACCCAGGGAGATCCTGTGTCTACCTTTCTCCATACTTTACCTTTCTAGGCCTACAGATTTGATATTGGTTATCATTAACTTAATGGCTAATATCTACATATAAGTGAATCATAACATGTTTATCTTTCTGGATCTGGGATGCCTCATTTGGGATGATTTGTTGTCTAGTTCCATCCATTTGCCTGTAAGTTTCATTTCTTTTTGACAACTGAGTAATACTTCATTGTGTAAACATATGTTTTCTTTTTCCATTCTTCAGTTGAGGGACTTCTAGGTATTTCTAAGTCTCTGGCTATTATGAATAAAGCAGCATTGAACATGGTTGAGCAAGTGTCCTTGTGGTATGCCATGTACGGTAGTTTGAATGGACTTGGACCCCATAAGTTAATAGGGAGTGGCACTATTAGAACGCGTGGCCATTTTGGAAGACATATGGTCTTGGAGGAGGCTGGATGATATATGCCTTTATCCAGACATTGAGGCTAGAAGCATACCTCTAATCTGGACCACACCTTCTGGGAAGTGTGTCACTGTGGAGATGGGCTTTGGGGTCTTTTTCTCAAGCTTCACTTAGTGTGACTGTCTGTTGACTTTCTGTTGCCTCTGAGTCCTTTAAGGTGTAAGGACTCTTGGCTCCAACACTATGCCTGCCTGCATGCTGCCTTGCAGCCTGGAATAATGGACTAAGCCTCTGGACTGTGAGCATCCTCAATTAAATGTCTTCTTAATAAGAGTTGCTATGGCCATGGTGTCTCCTTACAGCAATAAAAACTTAACTAAGGCACCATGTGCATTTGTCAAATGCCTTTAGAGTTATTAATCATTCACTATATTCTCTCCTCTACTCTGCCTTCCCACCCTCTACCCAATTTAAACCTTCCTTTTTCATTAATCCCCTTTAAACTTTTATACCACTATTTTATAACTTCTATCTCAAAGCCCCTCCTCCATGGCACCTTACAAATTTCCTGACCTCTAAGTATATTGAAAATGAAAAAGATATATCTGAAGATTCAAAGCTAGCAGTCACAAATAAAAGAGAATATCTGATCTTTATTCTTGTGTTTGTGTGTTTGGGTTATTTTTCCAGGTTTATCCATTCACCAGCAAATTCAACTTTCCTAATAGCTGGATAATATTCTGTGTGTGTATATATATTGCATTTTCATTAGCCTGA